ACAGAAAGACAGACAGACAGGCAGGCAGGCAGGCAGGCAGGCAGACAGGCAGGCAAAACGACGTGTGTATCTGCGTTGGTTGTGGTATTTGGACCTCTACGCATAGCTGAACAAAAAAGGTTTTGGGCTGTCGGATCTGGTCTGACTGATGCTTGCGAGTCTCTGTGGCTGTGACGCGTAGCGACATCAGGCAGCTTTCAGGTCCATAGTGCAGGGTGTAGCATGCTTGTAATTCTTTTCGGGTTAGGGTTTGGGTTAAGGATTCAGAGTTTAAGGTGTTGGTGGTTGTGCTTAAACCCTGAACCCTAAACGCAGGTTTCCTTGACGGTTGGGGCTCTGCGCTATGTTGGTTTCTTTTGGCACACGAGACGTCCAGGTGTTTCAGGCCGCGGCGACTGGCATCATCAGCCGCATCCACACCTGAAGCGTGAACGTGAAGCAGAAAAATAACAAACCCTAAACTTGCCTAAACTCTTGCCGGTCTTACGAAGGGAAGACTGGATGGCCATTGGACCATGCCTATAGGCCAGAGCATCAAGTCTTTGCGTATCCCAAACCTCCCTATGCACGGCTTGTTGCAGGACTATGCCGCCTGGAGGAGGAGGCTACGACATGTCCATGAAGGCCTTGGGGTTTGGGTTTAGGCTGTATGGCCCCGGCCCCAGTCATGCAATGCGCAAGTCTGAAGGCGGAAGCCAGGGTTTCAAAATCTTGCGGACCTCACAACCCCAGGGCTCTGACCCCGAAGTCCCGGCACTAGGATTTGGAATTTTGGGTGAGCGTTTTGGGCCAAAGCTCAGATCCTTGGGTCTTCTGCCAGAGGAGATAGATGCAAGGCGCTTAAGGTTTTGCCGCGACTCTTACAGCTTAGGTTTCGAGGTTGAGAGTTCCGAACTCGCAGATCCTCACCGTGCAAATCCCGAACCTCAAACTTGTAGGACCATTTCAGGCCTTTGACCGAAAAGCCCTGGACCCCAAGCCACCGATTTTTTACGATCTGTCACGGGAGACGAATGTTCCGTGTGTATCTACTCCGCTAGTAGTAGTAATAAGGTTAGTGTTCAATACTTATAGGGCTTGGGGTTACAACAGCTAATAAGAAGGGGTCGGTGTACGGTTTGGGGACACCCCTCCAGGTCGCTTGGTACCTTCCGAGTTAGATTGCGCGGAAAGCACCACCTCTGCGGGTGAAGTCTTGAAACCTTGTACCAGATGAAGTAGGTTCTGTGTTAAGGAGCCCGTTGAGTGTATGTAGGGCTCCTGCTAAATGTCGGCGAGTGTGTTTTGTTTCTGTAGAACCCTAAGCCCGCAACCGTAGCAATGAAAGACCAAGCTCCAAGTGCCCAGGCAGACCCAGGGTGGCAATCCAGATCGCCCGTGAATCGCAGCTTGGCACCCCCACAGCTGTACGGGATTTAAAGGCTTGATGTCGAACTTTCTGTAGCCGTAAGGAGTGTCTAGGCGGTTCTCAGACAACAAGAGTAATAAGTTCAGATATTGTGATTTGAGCCTCCAAATTCAATTCCGGATTCTTTATGTCCATGCCTGCATAAGATGCGCTCTTGTGGCCGAGCTCTTTGGGGCGGGCCCCCGATGCTCCATTGAACGCAAAGCCATGGATCTCATGCAAAAGCTCGGAGCGAACAACGAAAATATTTTGAGTACGTATGTGTCGGCAGTGTCTACGGTCCCGGTTTTGGCAGCAACGCACGGCTTCGCTGGTTGCTTGCCTTTGCCTACCTGCTCGTACGGCTCTACCGCGCTTTGCGCAGAGCGCATCGGTGTCAGTGATGATGCAACAGTGTTTGCTTCTCCCGCAGCGACCTTCAGACACCAATTTTGATCGGTGCCGTCGTGCTCCCCACAAGGTGGTACACTTAGGTGCCAGAGACCAGCTTGACGAGGACGATTTCCCATGGGAGTGTCCAAGCTAGCAGCTAGCAAACATAAGACGCGCCTGAACTTCAGGAACCCGCATCTGATTTCTGATTGCATAGTTGATTATATTGAGCGCGCCCGTGAGCCTTCAACAACTTTGGAAAGTAGGGTTTGTCAAATTAGACTAATTGCTACTATAGAAATACATACCCTGTAAGTCTTTGTATATATATATATATTAGAGTATACCATGGTTAGTAAAGTATGGCCCCTGTTTTATGCCTTGAGCCGAAGACGAAGTTCATGTCTTTAGGCTCGAGACCTCCTTGCTCGTTATGTGGCATCTTAGTAAGGACTCAGGGTTTAGGGTGTTCGGAAGCGTGATAAGAGTGGCACGGCGACATGGATTTCTGAGTCTCATTTCTTGCTGTTCTTGGGATAACGCTGTACATATCTCGTTCGTACGATTATCTGGCCACCTCGTATCATCAAGCAGAATATGTCGAACAATTGGTGTGCTGGAAGGGTAGTTGTCATACTCCTTGTGTCTCAGCACATTGCAAATCGTGTCATTCAGTGATGCGGTGCATTTTCACGAAGGCTCTGCCGTTGGTGGCTGGAGCTTATGGTGTAGCTGCGCGGTGCCCATATACCGGAAACGACCTTCAAATCTCTAACCAATAGTCATTTAGGTTCAGTACGGCAGCCAGTACTGGAATCTGGAAGTCAACGCCGACATCAAACGTGCAACTGCTGGATGTCCAGCTAAATCCTTAATTTCTGTGGGAATCGACATTGATCTGCGGGATGGGCGATTATGGGGTAAATTGCAAATCCTGCTGTGCCATGTGGACTTTCCCACCGACGAAGTAGTCTCATCTTCCCTACTCCTGATCAGTTCTTCCGATCATAGTTCTGACTGGCATGTCTTAAGCCTGAGCCTTATGAACCATACGTAAACCAGCCTTATAAAGCCTGAGCACTCGAAGCCGGATCGAAGCGATAAAGCTCTACCGAACAAAATGCCCTAGAGACTTCAACTGTTTCAACTCCAAAGACATAAAGAGGTTTAGGGTTTAGGGTTTAGGGTTTAGGGTTTCGAGTTCCTTCAACTTTAAGAAACTCCTGTCGAACCCTAAACCCTAAGGCGGACCCCCGCCGGCAACGGACCCAAAGAGTCCGCAGCGGCAAGTGGCGAAGTTGGCAAGCAGGGGCTATAGGGTCATAGGGCTTGTGTAGGGTTTAGGGTTTCAGTGGGTTTAGACTTTTAGGGCCAGTTTGGGGGTTTAGGGTTTCAGCTAGGGAGCTAGGGTTTAGGAATTAGGGCTTATAGGATATAGGGTTTCCGGGGATTCAAGTTTAGGGCCTAGAGAGGTTGGGGTTTTGGGGGCTAAGAGGCTCATAGTGTTTAGGAATCTCTTGAGGTTGAAGCCCTCAACGATCAGAGCATCTGAGCACGAAGGGACAAAAGGCCCGACCACGAGGCTGTAATAATATAGGGTTTAGGATGCAGGATTTAGGGTAGTAGCCTGATGTGTTGCAGTACTAATGACTAAGTATTCCTTCAACCTGATTTTGTTTCATAAATTGGTCGATTACACTCCGGCTGTAAGATGCTCCCAAGCGCCCTACTCTAGTCTACTTGTCAAGACCGCGCTACCCCAGTAGCACCCGACTGCGAACTCAGGCCCCTAGCAGGGGAAGTATACTGTTCTGTAGGGCAGTACAGAAACTTGTTGGGGTTTAGGGTTTGGTGGTTTACGGTTTAGGTTTTTATCAATGCGGCTGCAACTTGCAATACGAATGCAGCGGAAGCCGAGCAATGTGGTCGAGTCTCATCCTCCTCATCCACCCTCATCCACTTGTTTATCATCGCCATCGCCATCATCAGGCACACCATCTCTGTCGTAAGTAGAAGTAACATGATCGTCGTCATCACTGCCATCAACTCCGTCGTGAGTGCCATACCGTGACACATTCTTGTATTTTACAATATGGGCCGTTTGTGAACAGTCTTCTGAAACACATACGTCCTGCATCCTAGACCTCATACCCTACTTAAGCCCTCAAGCTTAAGCCCTGCATTGCATGACCTGATCAGCCGAAGCCTTTACCCTAAACCCTGAAACCTATAGCCCACAAAGGCGAACGCGCGCTCTACCACGCTGCCGATCGCGACGGACAGTCGATCACGGCGACCGGATACTGCTCCGGGAGCATCCGTCCGGGCCTTTGGTTTGGGCATTTAGGGTTTAGGGTTTATAGGGCTTAGGGTTCATGCGTTTCAGGCTTTCGGGCTTTAGGGTTCTGGTGTTCGCGGGTTCAAGGGTTCAGAGCTTAAGGTTTTGACTTAGTTTGACTAGGGAGTCGGGTGTTTGGTTATCGGGGCTCTCATGAGTTTTGGGTTTTGGGAGTTTTAGGGTCCATGGTCTTGGGTATTTGTTCATTGGTTTTAGGCGTGAGGGTCTTGTGGGTCATGAGTTTGGGTTTAGGGGTTTAGGGTTTCAAGGTTTCTTGTTTTAATACATTTTTTGTTGAGGTCTAGGATGTTGGACTTCGGACCGGACGTTGTTGGCCCCTCACAGTCTTGACAGAAATCTAATTTCGGTTCAAGTACGTAAGTTGTCCGCTGCGAATCTTGCTTTTCGAAGCCAAGACCAGTGCAAGCTCTCTCTCTCTCTCTCCAAGGATACTATTTGCCGCTTTCAAACATCCCAAAGAAGAACACCAACGACACCGACAAAAAGCAAAGCACGTCTACGCAACACCAACCACAACAAATACACACACACACACACACACATGCACGCACATGCATCAAAGCCACAACGACCACAACCAAGAACACCCAGAAAACCACAAACAACAAGACACAAATTTCTGCAAACTTTGGTCCCAAGGCCTGGGATACAGACCTTCCGGAACCTCCAACATTTTTACATTCTCAAACCCTAAACCCCAAGCCCTGGACCCTGAACCCAACATCTTCCCAAGCAGTCTGCTTCGAACCTCTAAGGACACAAACCTATACCGCTATTAGGTCTGTTGTACATAAGAATATGTTTAAGTGGTGCCGCCACAGGGATTACACTGGAAGCCTGAAGTACGCTATAAGTGGTCCAACTAAATTGGCCTGTTATGGTTTCAGTGAATATATGCTAAAGGACAAGCCTCGAATACTTCCACAGAAATCATAGCGCGCATGACGAAAACAACGAACATGAATAGTTCAGTTCTGATCTCCACGAATACGCATAGACTGAATCTGAGAAGTCTTTGCTTTGATGAAGTCTGTCGCGGCTGAAGACAACCGACGAGCAAAATGTATGGGTAAATGAAATACGTTGAACCGGTCCTCAAATCGCGGGTACAGCCTGGCTCAAAAAATCAACCCTGAATCCGACTAGCAGCAAGGAAAGTTTCGAACATATCTATTGTAATTCCACAACTTGAGTTGCTTCAACATACTTGTATCAGACGAACGCTTCGTATCGAATATTCAACCGGTGTAAATACGCGAAATCAAGGAATCTAGCTCACGTGACTAGAATTGATTTCTTTGCGTGTTCCTTTTGTGCATAGGTGTTCAGGGAAAGTTGTTTGTTGCTCTTTTGAGTAATGTATTTCCAAGCAAGATTTCAGGACTGGCTCTCGAGGTTTTTTCAGGGATTGAGGACTCCGAGAGGAGTCAGGGTTTGGTAGAGTGGGAATCGTGGAAGCTACAATCGAGGTTCAGGAACTCGGCAAGCGGACCCTAAACCCTAAGCCTGTATCCTTAAACTCGACCCTGAGCCTTGAACCATAAATCCTCAGCCCTGAACCTTAAAGCTTCGAGCTGCAGTTGGCTATGCTTTCGGTTTCAACCCGTGTGTAGAGTCAGGACCTAGACTTAAGGATTTCCGGTTTAGGGCATAATCGTTTGGGTTGAGGGTTTTAGCTTAGACAAAATTAAGCGGCCTCTTGAATAACACGCTAAACCTCCCTACCAAGGCCTATATGCGGCAATCCCTTCACCCATAGAGCCTCTAACCCACAACATATCACATCAAATCCGGGCTGTGGCTCAAATTGTGATACCTGCAGGAGCAGGCGACTTATTTAGTCAATTCACAAGTAGCTTTTAGGGCTTAGGGTTTAGGGTTTAGGAACCTTGATTGGGGATTGTAAGCATCAGACAAACAGAATCACCTTAGTTACTATCACTTACAGTATACCCCAAGTCACTCAGTACCATAATCCTGTAAGATTACCCTAAACCCGAAGCTCTCGACCCTAGTTACTCAGGCCCATAATCCTTCAAGTACTGCCCCCCCGGTAGGCCGATCGGGCGCGAAGGCGGGTCGGCCGCTGCGGTGAGCTTAAGGTTGGATTTAGGGTTTAGGGTGAATGGTTTTGGGTTTGGCGTTGAGGTGTGGGGCTACACAACATGGTATACCGGGTTCCCTGTTCAATGCCGAGGGTTCGAGTTTTGAAGTGTGTATTATGGCCACGTGGATAGTCAGACTAGGGTCTGGGGGTATGTTCGTAGTATTTCGTAGTTATATTAGAGACTGTAAGGGTGTTGTAGTACTAATTGCTCCGACCCCCATAGTAGGCTCACTCTTCAGACAGGTTTGCAGTTGGACCGACCTCAGTGGCAGCATCTCTCCGTGGTCGTAGACGCTCTGGCACTGTGCACGAAGACCTTTCGCTCTGCTTGCAAACTCGGTTCCTCAGACCACAAAAAGCAAAGGCCATGGTAGTGCTGCGGCTGCTGTGTTCGCAAGTTCGGACGATTATGGCCACGAGTGCCTTTCCAAGAGATGCTCTTTTTTTCCGTGGTGCCCGTCCTCAAACATGGTATGCTCACTTTGGACGGGTCTGTGGCAGAGTCTGTGATGATGGTATGTACCTATGAATCCATTGTGAGCCCCAGAAACCCTGCCCTCCTGAAAAGCGTCGTGCCTGCCAGACATCCGGGCGGCCAGTCTCTCGCGCACGGCCAGGGACTGCATGCTTTATGCGGGTTTGTACCATTGGAGATCGCAGTTCGCCGATCAAGGTGACAATGAGTTTGGGATAAGTACGTGTTGACGCCCTGCATGCTGTTGACTGGGAAGAAACAATGGAGGCAATGTCATTTTGAGAGGTAGTGGTGGTGTCTTTCGCTGATATGAACGCAACTGGCTCCCAGACCAGGGGGAGGGGTCGAGTGTGCGCTC